ATGTTGTATATCACTAATTATTGGATGTAAGTGTGCCCAGATAGAGGCTGGATTATTAGAATTATTTGCAGATATGGTACGAAATTCTCATAATCCAGCTTCAGCATTTTTTACCGGGTCTTGTTTCAATTTTTATCTATAGCGACGTTGTTTTTCTGCGTTTGTCAGCGCCATTTAGGACAGAAACTTCTTTCTGAGAAAAAAAGATACAATTTTCCTATAGCTATATCGGATTTAATAACGTATACTGTTTATAAGTAACAAAAATACAACTACGTTATCTATCTAACTACTGCGTTACTTTTTTTTGTAACGCAGTGTAGCAGTTACGCAGTTGTAAATATTTGACTAAATTGTAAATAATTTCCAAATCAAATAATAAAATCCAGATATTTTTACACTCACGGTTGCAATACATACCTAAATGCGTAATAAAACAATAATAACGTGAAATATCGTCAGGACGTAAAATTAACAGCGGTAACTCAGCAGACAGACAATAGATACACGCACCTCCTTCACGGACCGGGACGCGACCAGCACGGGGAGAGTACTGCCCCCGCGCTGTTGCTGTCGTTTGTTAAACGAGTTACTACAAATCGAACCAAATAATGTGCAAGTAACCTTAATCCAATCATTTTAAAGTCTTTTTTCATACAGTAACGCAAGGTAGCTCCGATATTGTTACTCGTTGGGGACACAGATACATTATTTTTTTATTTTATTAAATGTTCAATTTAAAACGTTTCTAATGCCATTCTAATAACGTCCAAACCTTGCATTTTTATTATATCATCTATAATTAACCGCCACCTAGGAAATATTTTGAGAAATTGTTCCGTATAGTTTGGCACACATGCTCAGGGACATAGATATTTAGTATGAAAAACGGCTGCGTTACTAAAAATGGCAACTTTGTTACTGTAAATTTTCAATTAATAACAATTATTTCAGTTCAAATCATGTGTTTTGTATTAGATAATAATGTTAAATTTTAAAATAATTATACTATTGTCACAATTTTGTAACCCACTTGCATTAAATGTAATGTTAATTCCAGGGACTGGTTTTTAGGCATCAAAAAGTATTTTGGCCCATATATCGCGTTTTAAACCATTAGTGTTTTATTTGAATTTGTACTATTCGCGTAAACTACAGACAATATTCACCCACTATTATTTATGGCACACTATACTAGATGCCCTGTCGACCTTTATTCGTTTTTGATAGTTAGAAATCCACAGACTGAAACTCAAACGCAAAGAAGTAACCCGGACGGAATTTCAATACTCCTACCACTCAACTTATATCCAAATTTTACGGGTGAAGTCTAACAAGATTAAGTAAAGTACTATTACAATTTATAAACTAAAACTGTCCAGACACAATTCGTAAAGGTTTGTAATTAAATTTTACATAACATTAACGTTTGCAGAGCTGCAACCATTACAATGTAACGACATAAAACCCCGTCGCACGAACCGCTGGTTAAGGCATTTCATCAAATTGGAAGTACGTATCTCCGTTTAAAGATTTCGTCTTTCGATATTGGACGCTCGTAATATTTTAACGACGGGCCAAACCTGCTACTTCTTTGTTTTACTGCCCCCATTTTATTTATCGAAACATTTGACGTAAAGTAGATAGACATTAAAACTTACGCTTGCCGTTTCCTTGGGAGATGTGTGCATTTTACTGCTATTTTAATAGCATTTTTAACTTCCCTATAAGGGACTTTAATAAATAATCCGTTTATTATCACAAAGATTTGTACATAACTTACAACTAGAATAATTAATAAGAAAACTTACAATGCGAAGAATAAAAATATAAGTATAATTTTGTACTTTGTGTTAAAAGGCTTGCTGAGTTGAAAATTTGTTTGACGTAACACGTGAACACTTCCACACTAAATGTATTAAACCAATACCATCAGACAAATGTAAATCCACATTCAATAATGTCATTTGAAATATTTGCGTCGCTCCTGGTTTTCGATTAAGTTTTAGGAAAGTCTGTAGATAACCAGCGTTTTGTAACGAGTGTTTCAAGTTCGACTGCCAGTTGGGAAAACGCCAAAATTTTTAGTCGCGCTCGTAGATTCATTCATATCGACTTTTGCTTATTCTTATTTTTGAAATATATTGTAATTATTGAATTCATAGACAAGATATATTGAAGTTATTTGATATCTTATACTAGCTGTGTCAGCGACTTCGTCCGAGTAGAATAGTTATTTTGGGAACTCATCGAATCATCTTTATAAAATTACGCTGTTACCAGCTACGTCGTCCGCGTACCTTCGTTCTTGCTAATTAATCTTACATTTGGTAAATGCAAACCGACGCAAAAAAAATTACATCATTTAAAGAAGAATCATTCTTTCATACATATCATTATTACATCGCACCCAACCGAAGCCCTCAAAGATCAATACATTACTCTGTTTTTTCCGCATTTCCCTCTATTTCCTTTTGGTCGCAGCCTGATATTGAATAGTTTATAGCCTTCCCAAATAAATGCCCTAACCATCGCAAAAAGAATTTCATTTCGAAGTAGTCGCTTCTAAGATAAGCGCGCTCAAACAAACAAACTCTTCAGCTTTATATATTAGTATATTTTCTCGTTTGGCTGAATGACCAAGCAGCGAAGTCTTATACTAAACAATATTGTTGTTTAATAAAATATCACGATAAATTGAAGACGTGCGAATAAAATGCAACGTTAGCATTCTTGTGCGAAGGTTAATCCATTATGAAAATAAAGTTTAGTCGTTCACTGTTCTTTGAAAAGTCACGTAGGTACGTCTTGTTTTATGTCATTCAAAATGATTCAAAATGGAACAACGTCTGTGTCTCATCTGCATAGTTATTAATAGTTTTCTTATTTCAAGTAAGTTTTTTTAAATATATGTAATTATGTATTATATTATAGTGGAGATAATACTAACTAAATTTTACTTTTATATTATTAGAAGTAAATTTTGGAAAAGTAAAATGTTTAAATCGTCTTTTCTAAAAATAGATATACCTGATTTTCATTAAAAGGTTAGTATCTATATAATTCTAAATTCTAAAATCTGTTTAAATAAAACACTTTACCGTAACAGCTGCTGCAAAGCGAAAAAGCATCTGAAACGTCGGGCCGTAGTTAAAAATAATTTCCAAACAAGTTAAACTAAAATATATCGCGTTTTAAACCGTTGAAGTGTTTTATTTAAATGTGTATTACTTGCGTAAACTACAGACAGTGTATATGTAATGTATGAAAATATGTATGTACGTATGTATGTTTGTAAAGTGTAGTATTTATGACAATAAACACATTTTAAACCTTAATATGACGTATTTAAACTTATCTGTTTTACCCTTTACAAAATTTTAACTATAAGCAATATGCTTTCATATGTTTGCTATAATCGCGAGCTTCAAGTTAAGTCGACAATGTGCTGTTGACCTATTTTATAATATACTCATTTTATTTTATAGTAATATAGAAGTCTTTGTTACAGGTTTAGTTGCAAAAACATTTTCATTAAACGAAGCGATAGCAGCCGAGGAAAGAAACAAAGGAACTGTGAAAACACCCAAGTTGACAGGTTAGCTACATATATATATAAACTATGTAGGGGAGACAGGGCCATATCAGGGACGTTAAGAAATAATACTTAATACATCAATATTTTTAATGAATCTTAGTGACGATTCTTTAGTTTGTTAATTTATCATTAGTAAAGGACAAAATCCAAATCGTATTTTCAAATTTAATTATACAAAATCTTTCCGAAAACTTCATCATGCCCCTACCCTGAGGCAGAATAGGGATAGCCAGAGCACAATACATTATTTATTTCAGACTATTAATTTTTTTTAATCATTGTGTCCTTCAGTTATCTAATTATTCTTTAACGATAATATTATTTGTTCTGAAGTCGTTTTACTTGCAGTATAAACAATAATATATCAACAAATATTGCCGAGGTTGTATTTAATTACACGCACTACAAAAATGTACTAAGTGTAACGTAAATACCATAAAGGGATAAAAACGTTTAAAGTAAAATAGGTCAACAGCACACTGACGTAATCGTATTACTATAGGGCAACTAACACCGAGAATATCCTTCAGAATAGTATCGTTATCTGTTTTATTGTTACTTTTGAAATATCCGATAGAAGGGTTTTTTAACGTTATATTTCCTGCCAGATCGCGTTGTTAAAAGTTTTAATTTTTACAGTTTCGAGTGTAGCTTTTTTGCTTGTACATTGTAATTATATCACCTGTACGATAACGCACCACCGTTTCTTTTTCAAATAAAATGTAAATAAAATATATCAAACTATTAATGTATTAACTTGTCTGTTGTAATCTTATTTATACTTTACAGATTTAAATAAAACACTTTAACGGTTTAAAACGCGATATATTAGTTAAACTTATTTGGAAATGATTTTTAACTTCGGCCCGACGTTTCGGATGCTTTGCAGCAGCCGTGGTCACGGGGCGACGGAGAGAGTTAAAAATCATTTTCAAATAAGTTTAACTAATATATCGCGTTTTAAACCGTTAAAGTGTTTTACTTAAATGTGTACTACTCGCGTTAACTATAGACAGTATTTTATATTTTACAGATTCAATTTTTAAGACTGAAAGATTTCAACCACTCAGCTTCCATCGATCAAATCTTAAAGGTACAAGACAAACTAGCCTGCAATATTCTTATCCAAACTAAAATTTGTTATTTCCTTTAATAACATCACAACATTCGGCAGTTAACTTTAAATTGCTTTAAAAACAATGATTGCGAACGACGTTTAACGTAAATGTTGTATTTATTTCAGAAATCTCAAAATCGCTTTCAACGAGTTTACTATCACCGTTAAAATACAAAAACCCTTTTGAAATTAAATCTCCCTTAAAGCCTAAAATATTTAGACGACCCCAACAAACTGTTAAACAGTACAGAGAAACTGAACGAGACAAAAGCAACTTTGATAACTATGAAGGAATCAATCAAAAGTACATTCCACTGTTTAGGAGTCTTAGCATCATTCTCGATAATATTATCAGTTCAGATTCAAGCGAAGTTTATCCACGAAGCCAATATAACGGACATTCGACCAACAGATTCGAATCAAATGATGCATGCAACTGCGCCCCAAGGTCAAAGACATTTCATTTGTCAGACTCGTATGAAAAGGCAGCTGCTTCCTCCAATTTTGTCACCACTGAGGTCGAGACTGAGACACCCTCGCCTTCGTCTACCACCCCGGAGACCGATCATATTACCCATTATAACGACCGCTATATCGGACGGAATAAGAACATACCCACAATACCTCCAGGAAATACCGCTAGCATTGGGGGAGACACTGGTAGGCTCCATGAGGGACGCAGCGCCACACATATCAGAAACGATAAAGGATCTCACACCGGGACTAATGGAAATCATGAACACGATACCCGAATCAGAAACACTCCACCCGTTACAGAAGATGGTGAAGAAGATACCAACAATGATACACGACACAGTGCAAGCGGCGATAAACCACGAACACTCCGACCAATTACATTTAACACCACAGATTCCATTGCAAACGGAAACAATAACATCCTCGTCAAAACGTCCATCAACAGCACTGAAAGAAACCTTTCAGGACGCGAAGGACACAATAACGTCACAAATAGAGGTGGCGAAACAGAAAGCCCAATACTACTATCAAAATCTCCTTTCAGACTACAAAGACTTGAGCCCAAAAAAGCAGAACTCATACAAACAAAGGACGAAAAAGATTATGCAGCAATCGAACGGTATTTCACCAGCCCTAGGCGAATCTCTAACCTCAATAGCCAAAATACCACAGACAATAAAAAAGGCCGTAGAACAAATGAAACAGTAACATGGAATAAGAAAGGGCATCACAACAAAGTCGTTATGATCTACGATGGATACAGTGTGGCTAGAGATGTGAATGGTGAAAATAAAATGTCAGAGAAAGCTATTGAAATACTTACATAAGGATTAAGAAATAATAAGTAATTTTTAGGTAATTTATTAATAAAAAACATATACACAATGTATTTACAATAAAATAAACTATCGACGACCTTTCTTTCCTTTACTCTTGCTGGCAGCTTGCTGTGTTGGTTGGGGTTGCTGTTCAGCGGGTCTGAAAATACGGATAAAAGTTGTTGAAATACTTTGAGAGAGCCATACTCATAAATGTTATAGATGAAGTACTCACCTATTTTGCCTGGTTTTGAGTTTGGGTATAGACTCTGCAAGGTGTTTCATCACATCCTCTCTAGTAACAAACTCAGGCTTAATTGGACTGCCATCATCGTTCTTTATTTCTACCCGCAGTCTACCTCTGTACAACATTTCCTACGATAACATGAGTAATATAGATAAAGTTACATGATGAGGTAAAAGCTTGTATATTGTATACTTACTTTGCTACGTTCTCGTGGATATAACTTATCTTCCACACCGATATGTAACCCTGATGGAAGCAAAACGTCTCTCATCTCTTGATATGTAGGATTTTCAACACACACTGACTTAGGCAATCGACGTCCTTCCGCTAATGTTTTCTTACTATTTATGTAAGCAGGGTATATGCATATCCACCTGAAATGAGTACAAGTAATGTACAGTGTTAGAAAGACCAGAACATCAACAACAATTATGCTTATAAAATTTTATTAAACTGGAGAACCTTTTCACGTCTGTGTGTTTTTTATCTGAACTCCAAGATGTAGCCATGGCTGCCTTGATTAAGATAATTTTTTATCTCGAAAATAGTATAGTTGTTTCAATCAATCAACTTATAAGAAGGTTTTTCCCAATTCTCTTTTCTACTATCCCAATCCTGTTTGAATTTTAATATCAATATTATTTTGACAAACTGACAACTCATCAGGATATGGCTATTGGCAATTGGCTCTTTTATAGTCTGTGCCACAGAGTAAATTATAACGTCATTACATAAAACTCAAAAGACAAGATATTAAAAATTATAACTAAAACGTTCTAACTTATACACTAATGATTATCGTTATTAATTGTACATTAAATATGAATTAATGACAAAAGTAAATTAAAAGGTCATTAATAATTTAAATAAAAATTCCTATTGCACCAACATTTATATCTTGTATTTGAGGTTTTTGTTCAGTTTATGGTCTACAGTAGTAAGTGTTATTATGGTCAAACCACATTGTTACGTTTATTTTATGTATTTAACATAAACAAGTATCCCAACTGCTACTCAACCATGAATTGTATTTGTGTTGCTAATAATATTATCGCGGTCTCCAGAGGAAGTTTGATCGACTTTTACATTGAAGAAAAACACAAGGTATTGAAAATTCAAGATGCTACCGGCGCTGATGATGATATCTGTGATATGGATTTCTCCAACGATCAAAAATATGTAGCGCTGTTAACCTCTTCTAAGAAACTGTACACGTATAAATTTCCATCATTAGAATGTGTTAAGTCTTTTTTATTACCAAGAAGTGCCAGCAAAGTTAGGTTTGGTGCTGAAAAAAATAATATATTCGTAGCAGATAAAACGGGTGATGTATTACTTTATAAGATAGATAATGATGAAGGGGGTGTCAAACTATTAGGCCATCTGAGTCTTCTTCTTAATGTGTTACAAAGTAAAGATGGAAATTATCTCATCACATCAGACAGAGATGAAAAAATTCGAGTTTCATGTTATCCACACACATATAATATACAAACTTATTGCTTAGGGCATAAGGAATTTGTCAATCATTTGGAATTTCTACCACACAATGAAAAGTATTTATTAAGTGCCTCAGGTGATGGAACTATTAAGTGTTGGGATTATGCAATTGGACACAACTGCTGTACCATTGATACACGGACAGATGTAAGTGATCAAAGTCTTCAAGAGGATTTCAAGAAAATGATGGATGATGATGGTATTGAAGTTGATGGCCTACCTATTGTACATTTTTCCACCACTAAATTAAATGACACCACAAGCTTAATAGCAGTCTCACTTCATTCTAGTCACAATGTACTAATTTACACTCTCGAGACAAGTGACTGTAAATTCAAACACAATTTATTAGAAAGAGTCTCACTGGAGGGGCATCCTGGCTGCTTAAAACTTAGTGAAACATCACTTTTTGTGTATGATAATGATACTAGTAAACTAACACGATTCAATTTTACTAATAAAAATAATAAAACAACATTGATCAAAGGACATACTATTAATATGTTTACAGAACATAATACAGACTCAATAGTGAAAACTGACTATGAACATATTAAGGTACTATTTAAAAGAAAGTTTGACAATGTACAAGAGTATCAGGAAAGAAAGAGGAATAGGCTAGTTAAAGCCACATGACTTTTTTATATTTTCACTCAGGCCATTGGGCAGAGGATTTAAAATCTTGACTAATCATAATACAGGTCAAAAGAAACAACATTTAAATTAGCTGCACAATTCACCATGTATGTATTTTTAATTTTAGTGTTAATCACAAATGGTTTGCTTAAAATAAAGCATTTTTCTAATATTTAAACATTATACTTGCCTCATCAAAAGGCAAGTTACGTTTACTTGTTATAAAGCATAAAATATTTAAATAAAACAATTGTTGAACATGTGTTGTTTATTATTCTCGTATTATAGGTCAAACAATAGAATTATGATGTGCACAAGTCTTACAAAAATAAGTGAAACCTAATTAATGTTTCAACATTCAACTAACAAGAGCTAAGCGAAGATACCATATACACTAACAGAGACAGAACTAAAAATATCACAATTTTAACTAAACAACAATCATAAATGTTAATTTCAAAAATTCAGATGTTATTGCTTTCATTATAAGAACTAGCACTATAGTAAACTCGTGGAACTCATAAAATTTAACATGTCACCTTGTATTTTCAGTAGTACAGATTTACAATACGTAATTCCTAAATGCAATAAATACAGTTATGTCATTTTCCTATTTTGTTTTATCTAGATTTAAGCACATTAGCAAAGTTGCTTAGTTGGTAGCTGACACTGTCAATTTCATTCAAGACTTGGTCAACATCTGCTTTGAGATCCATGAGGTCAGGGAGGTTGTTGCAATCGGGCACATTTAGTAGTGTTGTAAATATCTTGTCCCAAAGGCTTACTTTCATGTACCTTAAAACAAAAATGCATAGATTATAACATACATTAAAACTCAAGGATTATAAAACAAAATATGCCTTGAACTTTTCCTACAATCTCATTATTTTAAGGTGTAATGTCATATATGCATATATTTTTTTATTTGATCAAACATTTTACCTGGGTAATTTCTTGTCAATATTCCACTGGCCAAGACGATTAGCAACTTTCATGTAGCTGCCCATAAGTATTACATGTATAGTACCAGCCAAGCAATATAAGTCGGTTTGATATGTCCATGGTTTTCCTTCCCTCATTTCAGTGCAAGTAAAGCCTTCTGTTGAGATAAGCTGTAAAGCAATAACATAAAATATAAGAATTGAATTCTTGTTCAAAGAAAAATATAATAATAAATAAATAATAAATATGTTTATTGTCTCTCTCTTAATAATTAAATTACAAATAGTATTGAGGCTATTCCAGAAAGTTTATTACTAACTTGTGTTGGAGCAGCCTCGCTCTTTCCCGTATTATATACATTAAAAGATTGACAAGTTCATAATTATGTTGATTAACGTTGATCAGCTAAAAATGTGTGTGTGATACTGTGTATTATTTGAATGCATGAATGCGTTTGTGTGATGTGTGAGTGTATGTTTGTAAAAAGTAAAATAAGAAATAATAATTGTTCTTCGAAAAGTTTTTTATAGTATGTAAGCTTAATGCGTATAATTTAACTTAGTCTATTCAGGATCAGTTCAGTTTCCTCGTATGTTGCTTTTTTGAGCCATTCAGTTAAAGCTACTTTGGCCTGGCGAGAAATCAATGGATAGATGTTTATTTTTAAATTGATTCTATTATATATATAGTTGGATTGTGAGCTATATTGACGTCTCGCAAAGGCAGTGTGTACCTTTGGAAGATTTGCTACTGTATCGCGTCGTCTTTTTTTAATATACTGTGCTGGATTATATTGTAAAGTTTTATGTGAACATAAAGCTATTAGCAAAATATACAATTTTCGGACTGATAATAGCCCGCTTGTGATATAGAGATCTTGTGTATGGTATCTAGAAGGTTTAAAATACATAACTTTCAAGAGTGCTCTTTGTGCTCTTTCTATCTCCAAGAATTTTGTTTTAGTTGCCCCACCCCAAACGGGTATACAATATGTTATAATTGATTGAGCTAGTGCGGTATATACCCTATTTAATAGTTGAGAAGTCATGACATGGCGCAAATTTTTGAAAACCCAAATGAGTTTTCTAACTCTGGACATTGTAGTTTCAATATGAAAATGCCATGACAGCCGTTGGTCTAATACAACTCCCAAGTATTTTAAAGTTGAAACTCTTTTTATATTCTGACAACTACATGAGCGGTAAATTTGAAGGCCACACGTGTGAATCCTGATCGTAAAGTCTTCACGCGGTTGGGATTTTTGATTTGTACCAAAAGTGATAAAATTTGTTTTTAGAACATTAAGTGTTAAAAAGTTTTCATTCAGCCAGTCAGCTATTACTGTTAAACCACGTTCAGCGGAAGCTTGGGTAGCATTCCAAGATACCCCACTGAAGACAATTGCAGTATCATCAGCGTAAGAAAAGATACGACCACCACTGTCTCTGATATTACAAAGATCATTTATATATATCAGAAACAGCGTTGGCCCGAGCACGCTGCCTTGTGGTACGCCATAAACTACCTCTTCTTCATTACTCATTATATTGTTAATTTTAACCTGTTGTTTACGATTACTTAAATAACTTTTAAAAAGGGAAAGAGCTATACCACGTATACCAATGTCTTCTAGTCTGTGCAGAAGGATGGGGATAGACACAGTATCAAAAGCCTTTTTTTAGGTCTAAAAATATAGTCAAACATTTCTGTCCTTTATCTACATTATTAACAATTTCATTAGTGAGTGCTATAACTGCGTCTTGTGTAGAGAAACCTTTTCTGAAGCCGAATTGATTATTAGAAAGAATATTATATTTAGTAAGGTAGTTTATTAGTCTTATATTTATTAGTTTTTCTAAAATTTTTGATATACAAGGTAGAACAGATATGGGCCTGTAGTTATTAATATCATATTTATCCCCAGTCTTATGCACAGGAGTCACTACGGATCGTTTTAGAGTATCAGGAAATATACCTGATTTAAAACATAAGTTAGCAAGCTTGTTAATATATGGAACAATAAAATCTCTGGCCAATTTTAAAAACTTTGTTGGTATTTCATCCCAACCTGGGGAGCTTCCAGAATCAAGAGCCATTAAAATGTTATTGACCTCTGTTGGGTCGGTATCTAGGAGTACAAAAGAGGTAGGTTGAGAGGGCGTCCTACGTGAATAGTTAATAGCGGCTTTATTTTTAATTATATCTTCGGCTAGAGTCTGACCAATTTTAACAAAGAAAGTATTAACACGATTCAATGAGTCAAGAGGATGAGGAGCAACGTTTAATAAACATAAATTAGATGATTTGGTTTTCTTAAATTGAGTAATTTCATTGATGGTGGACCACAAACGTTTAGGGTTATCCACGGAGTCGACTATTTGGTTTCTCTGGAATCGTCTTTTAAGTTTTTTAATTAAGTTTGTGCAGAAATTACGAAATCGTTTAAATGTTATTTTTAGAATAATATTATCAGGTTCTTTTTTTACATTAAGTTGCATTTTATTACGAAGCCTTAAGCATCTAAGAACTCCTAACGTCATCCAAGGTTTCAGAGTTCGTTTACTTCCGGAGATAAGTTTGATTGTGGTGTTAGACAGTAGGGCCGACTTAAGTACTTCAATTAATTTGCATGCGAGTATGTTTGGATCATTAGGAAAAATTAGAAAAGATATATCAGTATTAATAAGATCTTTGTAAGCATTATCATAATTAGTTACTTTAGTAATTTTGTTTAAGTGTCTTATAATATTATCTATAATGACTTGGGTTACTAGAATTTTATATAATTAAAGGAATACTGTTTTAAGTTACACCATAAACAGTATTTTTATCATCATAGTTAAATTACAAAAGGTATTCCTAAAATTGTAATGAGGCAGTATAACTACTCAGCAATTTTATAAACAATGTTTCCTAAAAGCCTACATACCTCTCTAAATGTTGTCCCTTCCGGAAACAATGACATATCAATTGAACATCCTAAATCTATCAACTGCAATGAAGGAGTTCGCCATTCTTGTGTAGGTCTGAAAGAAGATTCTAAATTATAACTCTAAGAGACAAACTTTGTAAGATTACAATAGAATAATTACTTTAGTAATATTTTTTTAATTTTAAAGTAGTTAATTCAAAATATAAGGTCTGGGGATTCCCTTAACTTACATTTTCATCAATAAAAAGTTATCTGGCTTAATGTCGGCGTGAATAATCTGGGCTTTGTGTAGATAATGTACTATAGACAACATTTCTGCGGTGAATAATATAACTATTAGCTCGTTAATGCACTTTGAGGTAGCCACACGAACTTTATTAGCAACGTCTAATAAAGAACCATACTTCGAATATTCCGATACAAACAAACTTGCATTGTCTCCAAGGAAAGCTGTCGTTATATCCATATAACCTGGAAGCTAAAGTAAACGCATTTAAATATAAGAGTTGAAGTACAATTAAATACTATAGATTAATAAGATAAAAATTTACCATGAACGGATCCTTGATTCTAGCCTTTATTTCTTGACAAACGTAAAATTCCCAAGGCCGGCTGGGTTTCTGGTATTTCACTGCAACTGATTTATTGGAGTGTAGGTCTAAGCACAAGAACACAGCGCCGTAATTTCCTTTACCTAATTGTTTTTCAATGGAAAACTTGCTTCCACCAACAGAAACTACGGTCGCTAGCTGAAGTTTAGGAATCGACCTAACTTCGTTATAACCATCTGCGTGCGTCTTGTTTGGAAACTTTACGTATTCCAATAGCGAGGCCAGTATCTTTTTGTTAAATGGATCAATGATTTTGGGAAATTCAATCTCTGCAGGCCGCGGAATATCAGAGGTTTCAACTAACGATATTGAATGGGTTGACTTGTACGCCGCACATTCCATACTGTTTTCGCTGTCGACATCCATTCCATATCCGTCGGAATGGGCGTCCGACTGACGAGAGTACAAAGATGAGATTCTGCCCTCCTTGCTGACGGAGTCTCTGCTGTCTTCGGACTGAATATCAACCCTATGTTCAAAGTCGAGTTGCCGCTTAGATATATCCTTATTCTTCTCTAACATGTGAGACACTTTAGCAGATTGTATCGGCGTGGCTGGCTGGGCAGTCATTCCATCTTTACTATCGGAGTCAGATAGGCCGGAAGACGGTGGGATTTGAGCTTGTTCAGGGCTCGACACGTATAGGTTTTTATGCATCTTTTGAGATATATTCGGGCTGTTAGTAAATTTCGGAGTATTAGCGTTGTCTTTTGGCTCGTTTCTGTTGGTTATGAAATTAAGAAACTGATTTGAAAATCCTACATCTGGCGAATTCTGACCGATCTTAACATTTGGTTGATCGTGCCTAATGTTCCTGAGAGCGGCAGTCGGACTCTTATGATTAGCGCTCCTGTCATTTTTGCCCACTTCTTCACCTTTAGGCCCATGCACATCGTGTCTCATATGAACATCATTGTAAGACGCTTGCGAGATGTTTTGCGCCGACGTATTCCTAACATTGTTCTGCGGTTGTTGCGGGCTTTGGTATATTTGGAACGATTGGTTGTTATTAGTCATTCCGAAGGGTTGATTGTCTATTTGCTTGGGAGGTTGTCTGTATGGACTTTGAACAGTGCTAAAGTTAGGACTGTTAGTTGCACTTGTATTAGGATACATATTGGCTGTACTGTATTGAGCTTGCACATAGTTCTGACTGTACGCTTGGCTCTGAGGAAGTTGACTAGATCTTTGATAATACTGAGGGTTTTGATACTGGGTCTGATGGGTGGGGCTTTGGAACATTGCTTGTTGACTGGGATAAATTTGTCTATCAGCTTGTTGAGGATAGTAGTCTTGACGATTGGGATAGGAGTTTTGGGGATTCATCATTCCGTGGCCAGGGCTGCGGTAACCCATTTGATTAGAGTATGTTGGACTCTGAAAGCCAGGAGGCACAGCCTGTACAGGATTCATATCATGTGGGCTTTGCATACCGGGATGTTGAGGACTATGATATGCAGGATTGGGACTGCTGAAACCTTGCATCTGTGGTTGGTTAATCATTTGACTGTTATAGCCCTGTTGGTGCTGATAACTATAGTTCTGTTGATAGTGCATTGAAGACTGTGAGTTATATCCATTGTAATTTTGTACTTGTTTCTGATATTGATGATCATGCGTATGATAAGGCACTGGAGTCTGAGGTTTTTCTTGTTTTTGAGGTGCACTTCTAAATTGTCCGTTTGGTAAGCGGGCTTGCGAAGGCATTGAGACGCGTTTGCTGTTCTGCTGCATAGGATCATTGTGATTATACATTGAATCGTAGTTTGTCGTGTAACCGGTAAAATTTGTTCTAGTAGATTGTCCAGATGAACTTGAACCAGATTTGCTGAAAAAAAAACGAGATGTATAAAACCTGTTTGGCGATACCAGTAAAAGTCCTATCAATTACTAAGTTCAGTAATCGTTTTTACCTTGTATATTCTCTTGTTGCTTCCATTATAACAGATAAGCCTACACCGTGATTGTCCACAGTTACATGCTGGTCATTATGTTTAATTTCTTCCCTTTTGACATGTTGGTCTTGATCCATAGCACTCTCGTCAATGCTGAACTTGGGCATGGATGTAAATTTACTTGAATCAATTGAGCTCATGGGTTTCTTGAATTGGGACACATTTGGTGTACTTGCATCCTTGATATTAAAGTTGAATACTTGAGTGCAGGATGGTTCCTCATAATAGGCAGTTTTGTTACTCTGCAAAAATCGTTATTAAATATAAGTTAACGGAATTAATAGTTACGATTATACCATAAATACATAATTTATTTTAAGTAGAATAAATTACCTGAGGAACAGTTGGAGTAGGCGCTTTTTTCTCGTTCTCTTTATCAATAGGCAAGTTTTGAGCTTCAACCAATTCATAGTTTTTCTTTGTGTTCAAAGCCATTGTCATTGACCTATCTTCATGTATATCAAATTTCGGGACATCAAACTGTTGTTCCACTTGCTGGACCATTGATGGTTCTAAAACTAACAAATAAACAATTCCAATTATTTAAGTTTCACATAATTTTGTGTATAAACCAAATAAAATAACATTAGTTTATCTTTGCTGTTAGGTAAAATAAATTTAAACACCTACCATTGTCGTTGAAAATATTTCTTAATTCCCACCTCGCTTCCTTCGTGTTCACCGTCACCGAATCACCTAATAGATTACCCATTAAACTTCTATCAAAATCCTCCATTAAATTATTTTTATAATTTGTACCGTTTTCATAACTAGCCCCATCCATTCGATTCTCTTTGTCGACATTAGGTTTATTCTCGTCATTCTTTTTAGTGGCGTGCTCGCTGAGTTCCTTAGAATCGAGATTCACAAGAACTTTTGGCTCTCCAGGTGAATGTACTGAGTTGACTTTTGTAATATTTTGGAGTGAGGGGATTTGTAATGGCATCAGCTGTGACAAATGATCATGTTCAGAGTCCAAAGCGCAATTCGCCAAAGTCTCTAAAGCACTGCACTGCGCGAGCGTCTCGTTTATATTGTAATTTTGTCGTTCTTCATTTTCTGCGCGATTTTGTTGAACTCTTTTTTCTAAATTGTACTTTCTAGATCTTATTTCTTCTAAACTGTATTCTTTATCGCCTACATAAACCTGCAAGTGTAACACAGTTTTACATATCTAGTGTCACTTGAAGTATGTTGATACTAAATTTATTATATAACTAAATTGTGCAACATTACCTCAGTTTTATTATAACATGGAATTTTAGTTGGATCGGCGGGATCAGGTACGCATAGAGGCACATTGAATGATAAATCGTCAACGCAATAAGGCAAGTGGTTGCTGGACAGTCGAAGCTCATCATTTGTGTCTTCATAAGCTGTTGAAAGAAGAACTAACATGTACACCAATAGTTTTTAATATAAATTTTATACTAGCTGTGTCAGCGATATTGTCTGAGTACAATAGTTATTTTGGGCATTGATTTGTTTTTGCAGCCCTCCTCATATTATAAATTAAGCTGTTTCCTATGACGTCGGTCGCGTCCCGTCGTTCTTGCAAGTCAATTTTGAAAGATAGACATATAGTGTCGCGGACATTTTTTTAGATATTTTTAAGAGGAATCATTCTTTCATACAAATTTTCTGGGTATCTTGAAGAACCGTTTTTGCAGCATACGCACAAAGATATTTTTTTCCGTTTTCTCCACATTTCGCTCTAATTAGTCGCAGCGCTAGGTTTTGTAGCCTATCACATTTCTCGATAAATGCTCTAACGGCTAACCAATACAAAAAATGTTTTAGTTCCTACCAGTAGTTTCTGAGATTAGCGCATTCAAAATTCTTCACCTTTATAATATATTAGTATAGATATTATTATTTATACTTACTATCAAGTATCGTACATGTAAGCTATGTTCTGCATTTAGTTAATAATCATTCATAATAACTTAAGTAATAAATACCTATCTGGCTTAGAGAGTCGCCAGTCCCTTATGTGTTACAATACTTACGGGTAAACGGCAGAGGCTGATGTGGCACGACATTGGTGTGTACCATTTTGGTCTTAGGGTTCGTCCACATGCCTACTTCTCTCTCATTCTCCACATTGCTACACGCTTGCACCAGAGATGCAGGGCCCGGGTCTTCAGTGACTGGGATACCTCGGGATGTTGAAGGCGCATCCTGATAAGTATTTTCATGCCTTTATAGCATCTCATAAAACTAGTTATGAAAGCTTTGAATTCCTCTATATAAGAATATGTAACTTTTATGCATTGTGATTTTTGTTTTGGTATGTCAGATTATAGTTAAAACACAGCCAAATGTATGTTCTCAATTGGATTTAAATTTAATTTAAAGAAAAAGAGAAAAGTCAATCTATCGGACACCTAATATATAAATATAATGAACAATTTTTGGATTTGTAAGCCAAATCAAATACCAAATGGGATATTTGAAGTATCATCGTTACATGTACGAAATCAATGATTATAATAAAAAAAAGCAATGTCAGCAAACTTGTAGCTGAACACTACAAATTATCAAACAATGGACATGACACAATATTATTTTCGAAGAGATTTGATGACATTATTTAACCTTGTTTTTATTGAGACTGACTGAATTTTTTAACAGATTTTTCTAATGAAATTTTTTATATTATTGTTAACATGAGGAATACTGCAACACTATTAGTATATTTTTCATAATTTTAAGGCCTAAAATATTTTATGTAGTAATCTTCCATCTTCTTCTTGTCTTGTTAAATTTATGTGGCAGATATATTATAGTATAAAGTATCTCACAACACCATTATCAAAATAAAGTAATTATTAGTTCTTGCAGGCAGTACCCTTATTATTTCATTGATACATTTTAGATGCAAATAACAGGTCATTTAGAATTATATCCTTTACCATTTTAAATACAGAAATATTTATTAGTTTATTCAGTATAACACAATACATAAATAAACAAGTACTTAACTTTCTATAATAAACACTTACCTCAAAAACATTCACTTGTATATTAGAGCCCTGGTGCCGGGTGTCAGCTGGTTGCTGTCTGAGGGTACCAGGAACAATGCTTCTTATGCTATCCCCAACTCGTTGTATTGGAGCATTAGCTATATTACGCCTCTTGAATGATTTTAGAGATGTCAAAGCCATCCTTGTTTCTGCGAGGGCAGATGCTGCCTTCCTCTTTGTTGGTGAATCATCATGCAACATTCTTTGAGCAAAATATAGCTGGAAATTCCTAAAAAATAACCAACAGTTAATTATGATATATACAGATTTAGGCAAGATTCAAGAAGAATTTTAAAGTAAAATGTATTTTGTATTCAATTGTTTAGTTTAAATGACTTTGTGTTTAACCCATCGGTAACAACACACAAAAAAATTATAATAAGCCTTATTTGATTGCTACACAGATTTATTTAAGTTACAATCAACTTACATATGTGCCTGTTCCAGTTCATCTAAAGGTTGTGCCTTAGCTTGAAGGCCTAGCATATATACTTGATTGGCTTTTTTATAGTCACCAGATTCTTCACAATAACAAGCCCAGGCTCTATAAAACTCTGAACATTCTACACCAATACCCGTATTATACAGTCTTTGATATATCTCCAGTGGGTTTGAGAGGCAGTCGATCTAAACAAAAAATTTTATTTGTTTTCAATTTAAAGATAATAAATTATGCCATAATGAATCTTACAAAGGAATCAAAAAGTAAAGATTGGACTTACATATTTTATCCATAATTTAATAAGCCTTCTATCCTGAAAGTACCTTTCATCTTTCTCAAATAATTGTAAGCAATCCTTGATCAACTTATCAATGTTACCCTCGTGACCATGTTTAGGGAAACACTGTTCTACCCATTGGATATAGTTAAACCAAGGATCTAGTGGATCTGGACCCTGATAATGTCTAATAGCTTCTTCATGTTGTCTATAATAATACAATATAATAATATAATAAAGTTGCCCTTAGTCATAATTGAGTTTAGGTGTTGTAAATCATTCTAGGAGTATCTTTATTACGATACATAAGTCAATTAGTAAAAACTGATTTAATAGTTAGATTAAAAAATAATAAAAAATGAAAACACATGCTGGAGGTTAAGTTTAGAAAATAAAAAGCTTAGTTTTCGAAACAAGAATATATTTAAGCAACAAACATTAACTCACTCTCTTTGCTGTTGCAACTGTCTTTGGGCATCAAGATCTGATTGAGCTTGCAGAGCAGCACCTAGCTGCATAGCGTTTCTACCCCCTCTCAGCGGCTGAATATTCTCTTTACTTACATCGATATCCATCGTAACCACTGCAAAGTAGACCTCATTAATCACGAAACCTCAAGTAAACATAAAAATCTAAGAACACACTGTTCAGCACTTATGAAATTTTGAAAAACGTTAAAACCTTTTTGGGTTTCCTCACTTCTTACACATAATTAAATAAAACAAACAATCATTAATTAAATACTTTTCGAGTAGTTAACTAGATCCTAAGGATTATGCTTAAATATCCTGAAAAATAAAGTCTGTAAAAGCTAAAGCACGAATTGGAATAAACTATCAAAGTGACAAGTTGAGCTAGAATGTTGTCTATGTTAAAATTTAAAATCATAATCCGTTACCTTTGGCTGATGTAGTCTTAAAAACAAAAAATGTGTACAATGTTAAAATATATACCAAGAAAAAAATTGTAAATGTCTGAAGTAGTTACTGCCAATTATATTAATATCAAATAAAACTTATAAAGGTATTTAAAATAATTCATTTTGCGTGAGCGTAATTCATTTAACAAAGAAATTGCGACTACGTATGAAACAAACTCTATCTTAATTTTTTCATATATGTAAACATCCTTAAATATAATCGAAAAAAATATATATAAAGATATTTTTATAGAAAAGTGTAATTTAAATGAACAAAAATAGAGTTTTTCACCCTATGACTTCATCGAACAAAAACAGATTATAAGAAAATTCCGAATTTTACTTAACTTAGCCTGTGATACTGAATAGAGAATTAAATTAGTCGTTATTTTCTGAAAAGAGTCTGTGGCTGTGCTTATACAAAACTGTGGTATTAATAAAGACTACTCGGGAAATCCTTTAAAATTTACGCTACACCAATGAATTTTTAAGGTTGACACAAAAAAAGCCTAAGTTGATGAAATAATTTAAATTATATGTAATAAATAAAAAATAATTGATATCGATTCTTACCAGTTTCGGGCTCGTATCGATTTTTCTAATATGTAGTAAGTTTGTACGTCACTGTAAAAACTAAAAGGAGCAGACAGCAGCTGTCAAAACTCGAATGTGTGACATTAGACGATTTCTTTTTATTTTTGTTACAAAATACGAAAACTTATATTTAAACTAAATTTTCATAACAATCGTGATTCTTATAAAACGTTAATAAATAATTTTTATCAGATTTAGGTGTACATATAGCCATTATTTACTTAAAGTGTTCTAAAATCTATAAATAATGTCATTTAAACTGCAATCAGAAAAGAAAAAGGCTCAGGATGAAATGCGAAAGTTAATGATTGAGCGAAAAAATAAGGATAAAAAGCCAATACAGATTCAAAATCCTTTGGCCAAGTATAATAGTGCTGGACAGTTGATGTGTATACTATGCTCATCAATAGTACGATCAGAGCATGTTTGGCAAGTACATGTAAACAGTAAACAGCACAGGCAAAACATTGAAGAAGCTAAAAAACTCAAAGAGAAAACAAAAAACTTTACAGATGGTAAAGTTAAAAAGAGGGTATCTAATTCAACCACAGAAGCACCGCAGGAAAAGAAACTAAAAAGTATATTAAAGAATTCTGGTGACAGTGTGCCCACAGCCTTAAAACCTAAAAATGATGCACCTATAATCTATTCACATCATGATGAACAAATTAAAAGGAAACCTCTAAATAGTACAACTGCGGAGATAACAGAAACAGGTATAGCAATGAAGTTAAATAATTTTAAGTCTTGTTCCTTAATAATGTTTGTATTATATTTACTTTATTGTGGGTTATCTATACTTTTTTTAAAAATGTTCAAGATTAAGGGTATATATATTTAATTAAAATTTTAATTTATCAGCTAAAGATAACAATGAGAAGAGAAAGGAAGATGAATCAAAACCAAATGCGCCAATACCAGAGGGTTTTTTTGATGATCCTGTTTTGGATGCTAAGGTATGTAACTTACAATATATGTACATATATGAAATGTTTAGCCAGAATGTGTTTGCACCAAGTGCATAGGATTACACATATATCTGAACCAAAGTCAAGGAACAAAGCAAACAATAAACATTTTGTAATTTTTATTTTTACTGTAAAAACCTATCACTAGTAGTGACACTTGTATTTAACACCTTATATGATTATCGCCTATTTAATTATGTATCCCATGTAAAATTAAACTTTATACAATTCCATAAAGGCTTCATGTATATACTCAATCATGTCACTTGCAAGCATACTTCGTCCCTTAGCTTTAAATGCTTTTTCATTACACTTTCTTACTAGGGCTGATGCCGCATAACAGGCAAGAGATGAAGCCAATAACTGTCTGTCAACAGGTTCATCTAATGATATGTTCTCTTTATTATTTAAAATCCAATGCAAAAATGTGGCTATAGATCCTGATAATACATCCCCTTGTCCACCACATCGTCTACCAGAACCACCTAGGTTCAATTGCCACTGCGCACAAACAGCAGGGCTTAAAACTTCATCCATTTCTCCCTTCTTCAATATAGTTACATAATTGCCTAACTGATTTATACCTTTACTCATATCGACCTTATTGCAAAGTCTTTCAAATTCAATTTTGTTAGGTGTTAATATGACTGGGGAGGAAAAATCTTTAATTAAATTAATGTTCTCAGTTATGAGAAAAAGACCATCTGCGTCTATTACTAATGGGATTTTTTTCTCTTTAACAATGCCAATTAATTCACCCACAGTTGAAAAAGTGTTGGTATCTCTACCCAAACCAGGTCCAATAACTATTGCGTGTAGTCTCTCTAGCCAGGGTGATATTTCTTTGATAGCATTTTTATGGTCCAACAAAGGATGAACAATTAATTCGGGACTATAAGACTTTATTACAGTAGCTGCTTGAGAAGCACAAAATATATGTACTAGGTCAGCTCCAACCTGAAAAGTACAAAAACATTGTTTGAGATATACCTTACAGCATTTTTTGTATAATAAAACTTACTTTTAAGCCGCTTATTCCTGCAAAGAAAGGTGCTCCAGTGTATTCTAATGAACCGCCAACGATGCCTATTCTACCGGCTTGACCTTTGTGTTTGCTATTGTCTAATGGAGGAATACATAATTGCACCAAACTTAATAGTTTTGATGTATTCATTTGTCTGATAATTGTTGAATTCCAAGAGTAACACCTCTTAAAATACTGGTTTAAAACAATATTTCCTATATTCAATATATACATGGACTTAAAATAGAAAAATATGTTGCAAAATATTGTATTTACTTAAATTTGATTGTTAAAAGTATAATATACACTATACAGACTCTCACTTCTAGGGCTGTGCCAAAAACGGCTCTGACAGGCGATTACCACTTTTAATCGATTGTTTGTCTAATCGATTATTGATATTAAGTATCTCTTTATTATATTATTTTATTTTGCTAGAACTTTTTTTCAGGCCCGGAATATAGAATATAAAGATCCAGTAGAAGAAGAGTGGGAAAAGTTTCAAAAGGAAATAAAAGAAGAAGCTACTACTTCCGCTGAAATAATAGCTGGGGAGCAGGAGGAAGCTACTGCTGAAAGACAAATTGACGAAATTGATGAACAAATAAGGAATTGGTCTAGGTGAGCCAAATAAAATATGTACATTCTTTTATTAACTTCAATAGCTGCATGAGTTTCTCTGAAATACTGCATATATATTTTTTTTATTTATTACCCTAAAATCATTCTACAGGGTTTTGGATCTTGAGTTGAAAAAAAGAAGAAACCAAAAAGAAAATTACAGAAATCGAAGCAATGAATGAAAACAATACTAGTGATTCAGAAAATGAAGTAGACTTAGATGAATTCTTAGACTGGAGGGCGAAAAAATTATACAGCTGAAAATAAAACATTGTGAAATAACTGCTGTGTTATTTATTATTAAAGTCTTAAAATAAGAGAACATTTTAATTTAATTGGAACAACTTAAAATACTTGAAACACAGATATCACATCCAATTTAAAAATGTAAATAACTATAAATATTTTCATTTGTTCACATTATTCCTGAATTTGAGAAAGAGAGCAGGCAATATTGTGGGATACAGAGTAATTAATGTACTGTAGAACTAGCTTCTTAAGTATTGTAATCTAAAAATAATAATGTATCCACTATTATATTCTCCTCACCACCGACTCAATTCAAATTTCACTTCCTGCGTTTCTTTGACCCAGTTTCCTTGGCAGTAGCTTTTCGTTTTGAAGCTCTCGGCTTACTGCCACCATATTTAGTTGCCAGATCGTCAAGGAAGGAATCCATTTGTTTTGACCTGGATTCTAGCTTTTGTTTTATCATAAGCTCCAGACTGTTTTCACCTAGAGATCAATAATAATATTAATGTATAACATATGTGGAAGGGAAGTATAATATATAATGAAAATATATTTACCTGAATTCATTCCAAGATCTTCCTTTAATTGCTCTGCTTCTTTGGCTTCGTAATTTTCTTTAGCATGTCTTCTCTTACGCTTTTTTGCTGGTTCATGTGTAAATATTTTATAGGCTGGGATTTCACCTTGATCAATCATTTCCTAAAAAAACAAATAGGGAATTCAAAAGCATATACATATTTAGTAGTCTTTTGAGATTTTACTAAATATGTATGTGCTTTTGAAGCTTATTTAAAGGCATATGTATATTTAGCTGACGTTAAATGTTGCAACTTTGTAATTAATACAGTAATGATATTTGTGACTATTTATAATTATTGGTTGTGTAAGCTCTTTAAAAAAACAGTTAATGGCAAGTTTATTGATTCATTAAAGGTTTTTATTTATTTAAAATATCAGAATAAGACTTATGCAACACACACAGGCAAACGTAAATGCGCTCTAAGTCAATTTCATAAACAACATTAAAAATTCGAGCTAGAATAATCTAATATGTAACTAAATACTGTCTATAGTTTACGCTTAATATGTAACTGTAAGCACTAACAGTTAAGATGCCTCGCAGTCTTGGTTCTTGTTCTGATCTTGCAAATTGAACATGATCAACAATATAGTCCATATCACCCTTTCCAGCAATATATGCATTTTTTAAGTCTTTTTTTTCTTCTTCAGAACCTGAAAAATTTCTTTGTGAAATAATTGGTGCTCTGAATATGATTAATTGTATGTTTGAAAATGAAGTATGTGGCAAAATCAAATATTTATTGTAACTAAGGTGCGACTTTGTTAAGTAGACAATTCTACAAACCTATATATTCTTTTTCATAAGCTGCAATATCTTCTTCGGTGATTTTTTTAAACAGGAATCTCCAGTAGACTGTCCAATCTCTATCATCAATAACAGTGTAATCATCATCATCAACACAGTCAGTTGAGCTATAAAGCTCTCTTTTCTCTTTATCACTTAAAATAGCATGCACTGCACCAAGAACTTTAAATTTTTCAGTTGCTTCTAGTTTCTCTTCTTCATTTACCCTATCTGGATGAACTTTGAGTGATAATTTGTGATAGGCCTTCTTAACTGTAACATAGAATTTAAATATGCATGTAATTATATAAATAACATTCTTTTTGCAAACATTAATATTTTTCACATGTTATTGCACATGAAGGCACTATATAATTTAAAAATCTAAAATAAATTGAAAAAAATTTTCGACTCGGGCAGGACTTGAACCGGTATCAATAATGCTGTTGCTCTGATACCAGCAGAGCAACAGCACGGAAATCTGACGATACCGGATATATTTAGATTTTTAAATAACATTCTTTTTACTTCACATTATATACCTATACAAACATACAAAGGCATAAATTAAAAATCAATTTTACTGAATCACTGAACATGTGAAAAATGTTAGTTTTCAAACACAAAGACATTTTTGTATCATTAAGTAATAATTATGTTCTATGATCAGTTAAATGTATAAGTGGAAGTTTGAGGGAGCTGTAAGTAAATAACAAAAATAATGAAATGTTTGTCATTGATCAACAGTTAAACAAAAATACCGCGTTAACTACCGGCATGACCGCCCATACGTATAAGTATAACCCACCTTCTTGTTACGATGTTATAACATAGTAATACGTGCCTCCTAATTAGTTATTTTAATAAAATTGTACTCATAACACCGTTAGTATTTAAAAATACATAAAATGGTTACCTTCATTCTCTGAAGCATTTTCCGAAATTTGAAGCACTTCATACAGATTTCTAGTATTATAATACTTTTCACATAATTCTAACAAACCCATTTTTATAATATGTATTTTTTTTCAGATTTAACTATTATAAAAATATTTTAAATCCATAAAAATTAAAGTCTATTTCGAGTGAAAAAAGCGCGGTAATACAATTTACAAAACTCAAAACTGTTATTGTATTATGACATTGACATTTATTTGATTTTATACTTTTCAAATTTATTTTTTTAATATTTAATGGCCTAGTAACTAGACCTCTTGTCAAAGACAATTATGATGATTTACTTTAACTGACTCACGTCAATTCTGGCGCCTTTGTTCAAATTTGAAATTGGCAGACAAGATATGTCATTTCGTGGTTTTCGAAAATGTTTGTCATTTTGTTTGTTTACGAGTGGTAATTTAACTGTTTAATTAATTTGTTATTAGTGAAGAGAGATTTCATTACGAATATTTTTTTTCGTTTAAATTAAATACAACTATTGTAGAAAATAATATTATTCTTATAGGTAAAGAGTAATATTTATACACCAATTGTTATAATTGTTGGATTTATAGCTATTTTACTATGCCAATCTAATATTTCTTTGACTAAAGAATACACTTTCAGATAAACCAACCTGAGTCTGACATGGAACAATACAGTGTTATTATTCAAAATCTTCAGAGTGAAGAACAGCGATCACAGGCCCTTGATGATTTAAAGAATCTTCTAAACTTTACACCTCCTAGCCAGGCTGCACCAGTCATTCAAAATTGTGGCATTACTAAAATTGTTGAATGCCTAAATGTGAAAAATAGGTATGGCAGTAAAACATCTGTGTTATAATTATTTTTTTATTGTAAAGCAATAATAACAGATACACAGTTCAAGAGACTGATGTTTAATAAACTTTTATTAAAGATCACATGTTGCATCAAGCTGTGAACTCTTGAAGATGTGTTTTGAAATGTTTGAACCTGAGGATATTGTTAGGAACTATATTGCAAACATTATGTATTTATTAAGACATGGAGAGACCTGTGTTCGGCAACTTGCAATAGATGTGGTTAGTATGTCTTACAGTTTATTATAATAAAATGCATTAAATGTATAACTTTTTGTTAAAAACATTTATTAGTGTTCATAGCATTGAATTTGATTTTCTTGTTATCATGTAATGCCTATGGTTTAATAATAATGGCGTGTAGCATTGTATAATTCCGTCACTATCTGATTCACACCATTGTGTGTGAGCTGCATTTTTTCAACCTGTTTCTATAGTTCTAAATTTTTTTATTGAACATTTTTGTAACCTTTCATATGTAATTCAATTAAAGGATTGGACCAGCTCTGTGGTTCAATATCTAAACACCTTGTGATAAAAGCCTGAGGTCCTTGATTCAAAGTCTAAAAAACATAATAGTCTAGTGGGGCACATACACAGAAGTCTCAGATCAAGTTATTCATAAGGCACAAATAGTGTTATAAACATAGTTGTATACACCACACCCCAAATAGAGGAGGGTTGATTTCACATAACAATTCTTTGCTTCAGTTGTCTTATAAGTTTTTTTTTTATTACAGGTATACAAAGTTTTTACAAGAGATCAGTCTGTACTGGCAAGTCCTCAATATGTTGACGTCTTTGTTGCAATTGCTCAGATGGTTTGTGATAGTGATGTTGGAATAGCAAACAAAGCTATACTTATTACATCTAATTTACCGCATGACACATACCCCAAAGTTTTAGAAGAATTAAAAATAGCACTGGACTGTAGTACGAGTAGTAAATGCAATGCTTTCGAGGTAGGATTTAACTTCTTTATAGTTTGTAATATTAGGGTTACTCATTTCCACCACAATTTGACTGGCTTATTGCAGTATATGGCAACACATTTTAAAATTAAACCATAATTTAAACTTCATGTCAATGCTCAAAATGATTTTGTTTTTTTTCAGATTGTTGTTAATATTTCTTTAAAGAATAGTGAGCTATTCAAACTCTGTAAAGATCAGGGTTATATTGATGCCATGGTGTCGGAACTAGAGGCAGATGATATTCTATATCAATTGAATATTCTAGAACTCTTATCGCGGTTGGCGGTAGCCCCTCATGGCCTAACGTATTTAATTAAAAATGGATCTTTCAATAAATTAGTTCAACTATTGCAAGATTTACAAAATAACCCTTTGAAAGGGCTTCTTATAACAGGTGACTTGTTTAGTCCAAATGTTATTATTACTGTTTGTAGTTTATGCGGGTAGTACGCATTTAACTAAAACACTCTTGCTTTAGGCGCGAAGTATATTACTCAACTTATACTTAATAATTTTAACTACGGCTCAAGGGAAACTGTAGATGGAGGTTGCCCAAATGACAAAGTCAAATATGCTACGCTGGCGCCATTAAATTCCATATAACTTATCTAATATATTTTAAGTTTTAAACCATTCAATGTGTATTAGTTTAATGTTATTGTTATATTATGGATCGTAAATAGTAAATGTTTCATTAAAATGGGAATAACAAAAATAATCATAAAAACATAGCAATTAATTGTAATTTTACTTCAATTGTAATAAAGTCGGATTACTTTGATTTCAAAGAAATTATCTGTTTCAGGCTACATCAAATTTTTTGGCACTGTGATTTGTCACTACTCCAGAGAGGTGATCCATCAATATCCTATTTTGGTTGAATCTCTCCTTGACTCTTTTGATGAGGTGGATGAAACGGTTTTCCCCGTGGTTTTGGATACCCTTGGGGTTATAGGCACTACCATAGAAGGGAAACTTTGCTTGGCAGAATTTGGTTTGTATTTCTATATTAGTATTCTTCAAATTCACTTGAAGAATACTAATATAGAAATAGTATTATAGATAGTATTAAAGATAATTTACGGTATATTGCAGTATCTTTTAATCTTTATAATATGTAATTGTGTAAAAAGAAAGTAAATTTATTACAAGTACATAAGACAGCACATCGTAAAACCGTAAATTAATTTATTATGTTTTTAAATGTATAGTTTATGTGGTAGGAATTTTTGAATTTTCATAAATTCAAGAATTCAGTCATTATCGAAAATAAGTTCATCTGTACGTACGATAGATATAACTATCCCTATAGCTTTTTGGGTACGAGAGATCCTGAATTCGAATTTCGGGAAATTAAGTAGCGGTTTCGGTCGAGCAGGGTCCAGAAGTCTGACACGCACAGTCTACACTACTTGTCTGTAAATAAATTAAATCAGAGAGTCGGAAAGAATAATGTGTTCGCTTCATACAAGGCAAAATGGGAGTACACAATACTAGATAAAGAAAAACTCGAATTAAAATTTACACGTAGTATAATTTTGAATGATCAAGTTCCTTGTGTTTATTGTTAAATCATTTTTTTACAGGAAGCAAGTACACTTTAGCGATCGAAAAAAATCGGGGATATAATAAGAAATAGTCCATCGAATATCAAAATTCGTGCTCTACACTGCTTTGCGAATCTTGTTAGTGTCGAACAAGACCCTAAAAGCAAGGACGGTGTAGATCAAAGGGTGACTTTAATGACGCGAGAGTGGTTTAGAAGTTTTAGTAAACAGCCACCTGCAATAGAAACGCTGTTAACCACTTGTAAGAATCCGTTCCCTGATATACAATGCGCCGCATTCATGTTGCTAGACGCAGTATGTCAGCATCATTGGGGAGAGGAATTAGTGGCTAATTGTGCAGGTAGCTATAAATTAACTTACCATTTGTAAGATTATTAATAAAACCTTAAGTAGGATCGTTATTACATAACATAAAAATACGTTAGGATTTTACCTATAACCACAATAATCTGACTAACAACTTACAGTATTGTCTGTAGTTTACGTCAGCAGAATAAATTTAAATAAAACATTTTTAACGGTTTAAAACGCGAAGTAAGTGAGTTAAACTATTTATTTATTTTAACCATGATCTTCCGTTGTAGAAAACGTGGTCATTGAGGAACAATTCGCGTTTTGAACCGTTAAAGGGTTTTATTTAAATCAACAAATTACCATTCAATAAAATCAGTAAAATCGGTACATTATTGTATCCATCCCATTCTGTAAAATTATACAAGACTAAACTTTGTTTAGTAACCTTTTGAAGAAGTTTATTTTTTATTTGACTACCCTCAAAGAATAATTTTTCTTAAATCCGTTTTATGTTCTAGGTTTTATTGAATTCCTTCTTGATCGCACTGTGGACTTAACGAAACCCTTACAAGAGATAAAATATGACATTATCAAGAGGCTGTCTAGATCGTCTGCTTTCGATTCAAACATTCTAATGAGACTGCAGACCTATGTTGAACAGGGGCCTTTCTATTCTGAATCATTGATGCAAGTGGCTATGGAAGAAGCTGATTAATTACATTCTTTAACATTGTTTCTACGAGAAGATTACTTTTTATTTTTGGTAACTAAATAAAATTGTTTAAGTTAATATTTTTTTTACCATCCCATTTCCTATATTAAGACGATCTTTACTTTGGCCGAGTTTAAAACAGATTACCTATTAGATAAATAATATCCGATTAGAAGTTGCATTTTTGCTAATAGATAAGTTAATTACTTTTGTCTCTATAAGAAATACTATCCAGAATATTCATTTTGTTTCATGTCGATCATTTTTTTTTATCGATTATGCTTCCACTCTCAGCGTGTCATATTAGATAAGAAGTATAGCATTCTAATATTAAACGTTTGACAAACCGTTTGTTTGATCAAGTCGCGTAATGTCAACATTACGTCAATAAATTAATAATTTACTATCATTATTATATCTTTGGAAAGATTTTTTCTACAAAATGGATTTTTTGAGTCCAGCTTCCGGCGACGGTAATTCAAGGTCGCCGCTGCCTATACCGAAAAATGAAAACTTACCTGTAACTCATGAATCCTTATTAGAAAATGATATTTTGAAAGATGATAAATCAGATACAAAAAGTACTGACGATACAAACGAGAATGAAGGTAATGAGAATGAAAATAATTTAAAGGAGAGAATACAGCAATGTCGGAGTATTATAGAGTCTTTGAAGCTTGAATTGACTGAAGAGAAAGCTCGTTTAGAAAGAGAGACCAAGACTTCCCAACATCATCCCAAAAACATTGAACCAACAGTAACTTCAGATTCAATTTCATCTGTGGACGATCCTTATCCTCCGAATTTCTATAGTTCTTGCGTGGAAAGTAAGTTAACATGTGATGAAAATCTTATTCAATATGAAAAACAATTAGAGAGATATCAAAACACACTAAACATGGCACAAATCGAGAAGAAGAATGCGATCAGGAAGCAAATGATAGCGAAAGCTTACAAGCTCAAATTGCTAGAAGTTGAAAACCAATGTAACATCGAACTTCTACGCGTGAAGCAGAGCTTGCAGTGTCTGGAACCCCTGCAAATGATCGCCAATAAGTGGAAAACTAGCACCGATGAATATGCTTACGATTTGGACAACTTCGAGCTGATGCCTCGTTATCCTGAATTGCACGCCATGTCCGGCAGCGACGTTTCTTCTGTGGATTCTGACTCCAAAAACAAATCGGCGATAACGCCGGATTAGCGAGAAAATTCCTTTTTGTTCACCGTTCATTACATTAATAGCCTTTTAATGTGATAACTCTTTTATTTGTGTAATTAAATGAAAAAAATTCGCAGATAAAAACGGTGTGAAATTGTGAATTCGATAAATCAGCCGTGCAAGACCTCCGCAGTGGACCACACACATTGAGGCACGCGCTTCGAATGCTGCGCCTTTTTTAGAGCCGCGAGGGCACCTCGTGCTCACTCGGTATTCGTCGGCGCCCGATGGGAAGTTCTCCTACCTACACTTGTTCGCGCGACCGCAGCCACGTTCAGATACGGACTCGAATTTTATTTTAATAAGATTCCAATTTGTCAATTAGAAGGCATGAGCGAAACTGGTTTGACTTCTTTACATGTTTTGGCCGTGCTGTACAGACTCGTAAGAATACTTAATGACGGCTAAACTGCATTTTGATTGGGTTCGCTTTTGTCGGATACTCCTTTAGAGAAAATTGTATTTTACGCTTGGAATTTCTCTTCTATTTTTCCTTAGTTTTGTTTCAGTTTTTGACTAATAAAGTTTTTGATGAGTTAATTTATCAGTGAGAGACTCTAGAATGTCCAACCTAGGTATAATTTCGCATGTGTGTTATTCTAGAAAGGGTATCGCTAAATATCCAAATCAGCTAATTATAAAAACACCAGTGACTTCACATCGGCTGCGGTCGTTAAAAATATGCAAGGAATTTTAACCGAGCGCGACCAAGTTGAGTTTGTGGAAGTAAGTCTTCTTTTTATTGGATGCGAAATTGATTATAAAATGTTAAGTTTCGTTGGTCTGGTAGCTTTTTATACGACTTTTATTTGAGTAATTTAATGTATCGGCAAATTTTTATAGAAAGTATAACTAAACACTAAAGAAATTCCTGCGGGTCTACTCATTAAATAAATACTTGATAAAAACTTGTTACATTTTAAAGAACAAACTATGTTTTCCAATTATATAAGTATTTCTAGTATAGTCTGTTAATGTGTTTGTGAGAAAAAGATACATATTTGATACTGTCTGTCGAATCCTTTTCGCCGTGTTTGCACGTATTTTTTTGTCTCGTTGAAAAGATCTAAGAGATTGGCTCGAAGTTGAAAGCTTTATGGAAGAGCAAACAATTTAAAACACTAGAGACCGGACGTATTGGCTGAGCACTCTCCGCCATTAGCCTTTGCCGACACCTCGCCGGTGTTCAGTCAAAAATATATTTTTTGTTTTCAAACGTGGGTACTGACACGAGGTAGGTGCCGACGCGACACTCATTCACCACTTGGAACAGTTTACTTAGGGTGCATTTAAGCGGCTTGAGAGATCACCATATTTTTGTTCTACATGATCGGTTCTCTTTTTTTGACAATGTACCTACTCATTTAATACATACACCATCTACGTTTAATGCTGTCTGTAGTTTACTCGAGTAGTACACATTTAAATAAAACATTGTGACTATTTAAGTATTTAGAATGTTGTGTGATGTAAAATCGAGTCTGAAATAATAACGCAATGATGTAAGGGTAAACAAAACATCATGACAAACTCGAACTTGGCCAAATTGTGAGACTATTTATACTGCGTTACAATGCATTAATAAGGACTGTAATTTTCTAACACTTCATGCTGTTTATCTGTCAATCACTAAGGCGCAGGATACCTAGTGATTTCAGTAACTACAGTATTAATAGCTGTCATAACAATTAACAATCAACGCAGTAGGAATCCAGTAAAAAATTCGTTCAACTCAAGTAATTCATCTCTAAAACTCCGGCCGTACCCTACAACTTTCAAAACATGGAATTCCATGTAGTTAGCTTACGTGAGACAAAATGTGAATGAATTAGTAAATACAATTTGAATAACAAAAGAGGATCTTTGTTTACACGATCTTATCTCATAATCTATTGCATAATAATTAGTGAAGGCGCCATGTTGTACGTTAAGCCGAAACTTACCCTTTATGTTTTTATTTTTTATTAGTGTTAAAATGTATAGAAATCCACGTGTTTCCCTGCGCGAAAGTTTATTTCAAATTACTGCTCAACATAAGTATCGTAAGATAGGTTAAAAAACTTAACCTATCGTTTAGGATTATTTTCTATAACATAAAATGCTTTAAAGTATTAAAGCAATTTGATGAACAATTTTACTTTAAAATAACTTAAGAAGTTTATGTAAAAATTACGTCACTAACAATTTGGAAAATTGTTTGTCCATTTTTCGCGCAATAAGTTCTATGGCTGTTGTGAGAAAAGAAAACACACTTTTGCCTCATTTACTTAGTCATATTGTAACGATTAGGAATCCGCAAGAAAAGGTTCTTATCTGTGGTTTGGCAAAGCATTGTGCGATGGACGCAAGCACGTTCACACGCTTTTGTTTAAGCACAGAACTCACTGTATTCGGCCCAATTGAGGTATTTCTAAGCACACATCACTTCCGAGTATTATCGATAAGGAAGTGTTAAAATTTCATTTGTTTTCATAGATAATAATTGGGTGTCTGAGTCACGCATCCGCCGAATGTAGATGGAAAGATTGCTTAACGTTATCTGTAGTTGTGCAAATGTCATATTAGGTAAAAAGATATTTAAGAACTTCCAAGTGACCTAGTAAGTTATTCAAATGTTTTCAGGTAAACTTTTACTTTCGTATTGCATTTTTGATTTAATGTTATTTTTGTAAGTCGCGAGACATTTTCACTTTTATTAATGTATTGTTTTAAATGAAACGCTTTTAACGGTAATAAATGTGAAATGTATTAACTATGTATGTAAGTATTCTATTAGTTAACCGTGACCACGGCTGCTGCAAAGCATCCAAAACGTCGGGCCGTAGTTATATACATATTTTGAAAATAAGTTAACTAACACATTTCGCGTTATAGAGGTACTACTCGCGTAAACTGCAACATTGTTTTTAATAATAAAAAAAACAACAAAATATAATCACTTAAAATTTAATGAAAAAATAATATTCTTATATATCTTATAAGGTGTTAAAACAAATATTTGAATATGTGTGTGTTAAAAAATATAACATATACTTATCCTTGAAACGTTACTATTTTATATGAATTAAAATTTACCAGCAGCACAGAACTCAGTGTTCGTCGTTTCGAGATCTCGTTTCATCGTGTTTTTTCTATCTAAATAGATTGATTAATATTTTTTTTTATTTATTTACTAATTATTAGAGTAACCATAAGTCTGTACCCACTCGTTTCCTTTTTTTTGAGAAGGCATTGTCTCAAGAGAAAAGTGGAATCCATTAACCAGTGACTTATGAGCTGATTATACCATACATGCATTATTGTGTCTGTAACGTCTTCGCATTGCGTACAATTTGTCCTAAACTGCCTCTGTTATGCAAATATGCATATAAATTTACTTCTAAAACATTCTCTTCGTTGGATTTGTTAGGGAAATTAAATAATGAGTCTATTGACCTATACAGTTACACCACCAAGAACTTTCCTGACATAATATAGGTTTGCGAGGTCTTTTTTTTATGATAGAGGATAGACAAGCATGTATTACCAGTTGGTAGGTAAAATCCAGCCATTTAACGTCTAACCCAGATACGCTACCGACCTATGTTATTATGCTTTCGATATTCGAAAATCCAGACTAAAACACTTGATTTTGTTTGCGCACTTACTACCAAGTTTCGTTGACATAAAATACCTTTACAACTCAGTCGTATATGTGTTAATTTTTATTTAAATACACTTAATTTTGTTAATTATTGTGTTATTAATTTTCTATTTTTGCTTCTACTGTCGTATCTTTGACATAGAGGTGCATAGTGTTTTAAATACAGAGTTTTCTTTGCAAAGACAATGCCTCTATTCGAAGTGAATGTCACTTAAAATAATCCAATTTTAAGAGTTACATTAGCCAGAAGTGTTCAAAACCTATTTAATCATAAATTTAGTTAAATTAATTTAGTAAATTTAATTATGCCCAGAATCAAGGTATCTTTATTTTGTAGCATGTATCTTAGTGTGTAAGTTTACTTATGTAGTGAAATAAATACTTTCGTACCTACTTCATCTGAACGTAGCGAAGCGTAGACTTCGTTATAAATTCGTAGACTTTTCTTAAGACCTGAAATGTGTTGTTTAGAGTTAATTACTAGGTTACGTCGTTTGTAGGCGAAATGCGTCCAAGCCAGTCAGGGCGAGGTTCGAGTCGCGGTGGTAGCGGCAGCCCTTGCAGGGGATGCAAATGCGTGGTTCGTCCGCTCGGACATTCGGCACCCAATTCTCAGTGTCGCACAAAACGCGGCGCGCGGTGGTCGTGCGCGGTGCACGCGTGAAGTGATGTCTACGAGATGAGGCTGTCGTTGGTGCTACTGTGGCTGGGTGCAGCGGTCGCTTGCGGCCCGGGCCGCGGCTTTACTCGCCGCCACGGACCGCGCCGCATCACCCCCCTCGTATTCAACCAGCACGATCCGAACATTAGTGAAAATTCGAAGTCGGCCAGCGGCCCTCCAGAGGGCCGTATCACGCGAGATGATGAGAAGTTCAAAGACTTAGTGCCTAATTATAACCCTGATATCGAGTTTAGAGACGAGGAGGGTACGGGCGCCGATCGCTTGATGACCCAGGTGAGGCTTTTTCAAACTATCGCTTTACTGCAATTCTATGCTGGAATAGAAATCATTGCGGGTATAAAGTGTTTATTATCAATTAGAGCTTAAGTGCCGCGGGGTAACTGTCCAGCTGTAAACGACAATAGGCTTCATAAAGGATCCAGTTGTTTTGAGAACTTCTCATTGCGCGGGTAGGGACAATCGCTTCGCTGGAACAATGGTAATGAATTGCGGTAGCTCCGTAGCCAGTGTTACGATTGTAGCCCCCAATTACGTAGGCTGTGCCAACAATCACTTGTTGTCCCTGTGACAAATTGATGAATGATGAATTCCTCACAATATCGATGCCAGTTCTGGTGAATATATGGCCGTCGTAAAGTTGGTGTTGAGGGTATTGAAATTCGTGCGTTGTCATTCACGATGTTTTGTAAACGCGTAAAGTTACGGGAACCTTATTGTTGTACGCTCATTGTAGTGCATATTTTGGCTCGCTGCATCGATAAAAAGTTTAATGCATATTAAACTGTTCGTGAAATTTTACGGCTATCGCTCAACGAATTTTCTTCACAGTGGGAGTGTAGGTATTTGGCTTAAACAAAATTGTTTATAGGACTGGTCCTTTTTAGCTTTTTGTATTTGCGGCGTTGTTAATATAAGTCTGTCAGTGCAAACATATTTGTCGTTAAATTTATCAACTATGTTTTATTTTCATTCAAATCCAAACGTTTGGAAGCTCAGAAAAGAATTTAATTTCTTTTTCTAAAACCAATCCAATGACAAAAGCAATATAACTGTCTGGATTACTTAAAACGCACAAAAAAATATAGGTTTAAATAAAACGCTTTTAACGGTTTAAAACGCGACATACATATCTTAATCGATTTTCAACGAAGACCTGACGTTTAAAATTTTTCACGGCATTCAAAGGTTTCAAACCGTCAAAATTGTTTTATTTAAAAATAATTAAGGTATAATGCTATTAGACTTTAATATTAACTTTACCAATAAATACTGATAAAACTTACTAAGTAAGTTTTTCTAACTATGTTCGTTATTAATCTAATCTGTTAATCTGATATCTTAAATAATACTACAAAGATAATCTTTTGAGACGAATAAATTATTGTTAATTCATTTTTCTATTGTAACGGTATAAAGTAGCATTAAATAGTAAGTTTAATTAATAGTAAGTTTCAATTTACATAATCTAAATCTAGCCAAATATTCTTGAAATATTTATTGCGTCTCATTGGTTCTTTAATTTAAAGGTTTAGTTATCGTAACGAGCTACAGCTTTAACGAACATTAAAAATCCGCCATCTTATATATTCGTTGCGGTGATTAAAGAGGTGTGCGTATGCGCATTGTAGTTATAATATATGATTTCTGATTCGATCTACAAAGATGGGATAGGCGGTGTTTGTGCAGTTTACGATTGTTCTCACAAAAGGAACAGGGTAATTAGTAGCTATCGAAAATTACCTATTCGCGTTAAAATGAAAAATTGAACATATGTTGGGCCTTTATAAAAATACACGAAAACTGAAAGGATAAAATTTATTTTTGCAATATTTATGTATTACCAATTAGACAGATTGTGGTATAATTTTACACAGATTATATTTTACATGCTACTTATAGGTATTCTACTTCCGAAGTAAAGTCGCAGGACAAGCTATATGTGTCTGCTAAGAACAGTTTTGCTTAAATGGCATTTTAATTTTGTATTGCGTATATCGGAGTGAAATACTGTCCATAGTTTACGCGAGTAGTAAACATTTAAATAAAACACTTTAACGTTTTATTTAAATCGGAGTGAAACTTTTTTCGTTTCAGTACAATTAATGGAAGTATCTACGAGTACATAAATGTTATAAGTAGGTTATTAATAGCGTGTAGAACAAATAATAAGTATGTACAAAAATGTAAAAATTTAAGTAAAGAATTTAGCAAGTCTCACATTTCTCTTATGACCTATATTCTTTAGTATTACGTAGGAATGAACAATAAATCTACGCATAAACGACATTTTGTTTGTTTGTCAATAATGCCGTTGTAGTTTACCATACCATTAGAGCGAGGTCAATCTGAAATCAGTCTTCTATTACAAGCCCAATACGAAGGAAAATGGAATGAAAAAGAAAAGCGATATAATATTACCCGCTTCGATTTTCCTTGGTAAGGCGTATTTTTTTACACAACAAATACAAGAGATTTTCAAGGCCTTGCAAACACATTTAAGTGGTTTTATTGTTTAGAAAGATATAATATAATTGTACATGTATATAAATATTATTGTATGCTATTCTTGTCATGTTTTAATGAAGTTGCTTATTTATAAATGCTATTTACTATCATAGAGAATCGAGACAGATGTCCAGTTTAATAAAATCTGTTCGTAAGTTTTTTTTTAAATACGAAGAAATACCTATGAAGAATTTGGTTAAGTCGAGTGTAGTCTAATAATAGGTAACTCAAACTTTGACAATTGTACGCAAATGTTTTTGGTGGTTAATTTTGTGAGTTTGGTTTGTGTTTGAGAACCATAAGCACATAAAACATGTACAACAACATCATAAGAAACGTTGACAGAATCTCATATTGGCCATGATATCAGTGGAATTGATTAGTGTTTTGTGTTTACATCGCCCCAACTGACTCGCCCGAAATACAAAGCTGATTATTAAACTAACCCAAATCTTTGAATAGTCACAATTCAAGGATGCCTTTGTTTACTTCGCTTGCAAATAATGACTTAGAGCACACTCGGTTTGCTCAGCAAATATTTTAATGGCATAATGTACTCGCGTGGAATCCAGTTATGTGGCCGTAATAATAATCGGTATTGGGTAGAGACAGTGGGATGCGTGTGTGAGTCTGGGACGAAGAAAGGCCGACGCGAATCCGCCGTAGGTTATGTTATGTGCGCCGCGGGCAACACATAGTCCGCGTCGGCCCGAGCAGCCTTGCATTCGTAAAAATCTCCAAACCGGTTCGATGCGCCTCCATTGCTTTCTTTCTGCCTCCGCTGTGCCTCCCATTTGACTCGGGCCCACTTTTTATCGGGAATCGGTATCTCCTTCTAATAGTATTATTTATTTCTCATGAATAAGAAGGAGTATAAGTGAAGTTAATGCGCGGTTGCTTTACGTGCCATGCCGAGATAAACGCGGACATTCCGGGACCGTTGTCTTCGCTCGATACTATCGACCTTAACTAAATGGAATTAATTTCGATGCGCGCAGGCTGCGCGCATCGAAATTAAACGGACTTTATCTACGGCCCTTTCAATGTACGGAGATAGGACATAAGCATAACAGGAATGGCCGACTTTGTAACGCAAACGCAAGCCTTGAGGCCAATAAATAAACGCATGCAACATAGCACATTCGGATAGCAAAAACCACAAAACGTTTGCTTCGCCACATCGCTTTGTCCGTTTCAATTGAAATTACATACGGCTTTATGTTAGTTTTTATTTAATATTTTATATTCCCGCCTGCGAAAAGGCACGGACGTGCGAGGGGATGACGCGGGGGAGCGGGGGGTCGAGGGACATAAATATCTCGGTGATTTATGGGCGAGGCGGTCGCGGGATAGGTCAGCATTATTCAATTTCGTATTTGAGGCTCGAGTTACAATGAGCTTTTACTGCGGTGCGCGCGCGCAGATAGCATGTCAATCTCGAACGCTACACAAACTTTTGTTATCTACTTTTTAAAATTTTATTGTAATCCCGAGATTAGCTCGTGTTTAATTTGACTTTTGACGTCGACACGAAATCACTTAGATGCTGAAGCGGCGTTTTTATTTAACGCGGGTACTTCTAAGATCGCGTTCCTCAAATGTACGAACAAAGCAAACAAACATTTAATTTGATAGAATCGTTTTAATGCTTCATTATCGATTGTTTATATTGATTTCATTTTACAGTCTGATACGCTAAAGTGGTTTAATTTGTTAGCTGCAAAGACACCGCCGTCTAAATTAGGTATTTTGAGCTTATTAGCGCAGGATAAAAAAACGGAACGAGAACGGACCTCTTTGTGAATAATTGACCATAATCAAATTAATCCTAAATTCTACGGTGGGTTTACAGCGTTATAAAATGTAATAAAGACCTCTTAACGGCCTTAGCGTATTGCTTGTTTACCATTACCTCTGTATGCTCGGCTTATTCTTAGTCTTGCCGACCGCTCAAATTAAGGCGGTCGTTACGAGATTATCAGGAGTCTTGTAAACGAGATTACACTTGTCTCCGTCGTCTACGTTTCAAGTAATACATGATTTCACTTGCAGAATCACTGTGACTAGGAAATATGAGCGCTGAAAATTTATTTCGCATTGTTTGCGCGCAAGTGCATGAGATAATAATTACACATCCATATTCTATAAGTTGTGCTATTTGAAGGCTTAAAGCGGCGTACACATTAGGTACGCTCAATTTCTCTCGTTTTCTTCTTGAATATTATGTGAAGGCTTTATTGCATTTGCGTTGCATTTAAGATACATATTAGAAATTATTTAAATAACACTTTTACTATTTAAAACGCGTAGTATATAGTCACTTACTTAACTTATTTGAAAATTATTTCAACTACGGCCGGACGTTTCGGATGCTTTGCAGCAGCCGTGGTCACCGAGAGACTAGATAGACATATAACACATTAGTCAATAATCTGAACCTACATACATACGTTTTAAATTTGGTAAATATAACGTAGATTTCGATTCTAAAATATTTTTTCAATGTCTATGCTCCTAAAGGTACGAGGTAAAGCACAATTCTTTACTTATAAATACTTGAAAAGGCTTTTTCACAAATCGCGCGAACTAACGCGAGTCACCATTTGTTTAGATAACTCATATTCACTTAGCTAATTAAGCAAAAGCAATGTATATACTATTTAAAGTAACTAAAAGTGATTATTAATATTCATTAATATTTAATGCGTAAAGTGCTAGAAAACTGCGTCGCAAAATTGCGCCTGCGCCTAATTCCATCGATTAGTGTG